TGGAAAAATATTTGTTGATTAAAGAGGTTTATTTTTTTTATTAAAAATATTGGTGATATAACAGAAAATAGCCTAATTCAGAAACGATTTAAGTTTAAAATTGATATTTTTACTTTCATGATAAATTTTATGCACTTGGCTCTAGGCTAGGTGATCCCACAGTATGTCTTTACTTTAGGCTTATTATACCAACACTCACTATGCTCATAAGGTTTCACAGCACTACCACCACCCCTCACAGTCCCCCTGTCACTAAAATCATAATGGGCAGACAGTAATCAAACCATTCTATCTGGATAAATGCATTTTGGTTTTTATGATTTCTCCTATTTTGAGAAATCAAGCATGACATGATGTGATAAACACTGGCTTTTATATAGGTTAGATTATAAAAAGCATAAAGCACTTTCAAAACTGAATTAACTAGTCTTGAAGCTTAAGATTACAATGACTTTTACAATTAACTTTACAAAAAACTCACAGTAACTAAAATAAACTGATTTATGAGCAAGTTATCCTAATAATCCTTATCTTCGGAGTATTTTTACAGAATTTTATAAAATAAAAATGTTCCATTAAAAAAAACAAATCCCAAAGGCTTTGAATCGCACTTAATACCCTTTCACTCATGTGGTAGCTTTTTATCATTGTGCACTTAGAATGTTGCTTTTAACTGCAAACATTTTAGGTAGCAAAAATGTTAGCCAAAAATGCTTTAGCAGCAGCAGACATAAAAATATACATTTACAACCAAGTTGTTTATATTAACTGTGTTCTGTGATTCATGAAAACTGTATTGTTTATTTAAGCCTTTCAATTATTCCTTCCAGGTGTGGAACTAAAATTTTATTTTACTCCAATAGTTGTTTTCAAAATAAACCATAAACCAGCAGTTTCATGCCTTCTAAAAATAAAGCTGATGAATATAATCCTGGTGAATTTGTTTTGAAATGGAAAAACAAAATACGGACACACTACATTATAATACAAAACAAAACCTATGGCATTTTTTTTCACATAAAGATGTATGTATAAAATAACAAGACAGAAAATAAAATAGCAATAAGAGAAAAACCATCCAAAATAATCAAACTAGCAGTAAGTAGAATACATAAGATAAAAAGATGAGTCAGTTAAAAAACCTTCACTACTTAAAAAGAAAAAACTCCTAATGAAATAAATAATTTATCCACAGTTTTCAAATACTAAAATATATGTTGTACAAGTTTTTAATCTTAACAAACATACACACTCAAAACAAATTACTAACTTACGTTCAAAAAATTGACGGTCAAATTTATTACAACCATTAAAACATACTTTCTTACCACTAGGGCAATAAGTAATCCTGTTTTGATAAAATTTTCATCCATGGAACTTATCATAATTTGTTGTTATAGTGTTCCTACATAATCAAGATGAGCTAATTTTCTATGCATAAAATGCCATCACATAAATTTTTATATTTCAATTAGTTTCAAGTATATTGTAACTTCTGATAGATTAGATAAAAGCTTGTTTTTCTCAAATCGTTTAGGACTGAAAACTCTAAATAAACAGTTTTACTACTCTATTCACTAAAGAAACAATTAATTATATTATTACTGCATCTACAGTAACAATTTCTTTTCTACTCCATTCACAAAAGTAATAATTCATTCTTAGCTCTATCTCATGGAGTAAAATATACTTCCTTAAATGCATCCACAAGAGTAAAAATTCCTTCTCAACTTCATCTATTGGAGTAAAAGCAACTTCCTTAACCCTATAATGCCAACATTAAATTTTTAATCATTAACACTAAGTAGTATGGGGTCATAGTGCTGGCATTCTAGGGTTAACTGCATTCACTACAATATTATAAATAATTCCTTCTCAGCTTTACCACTACAGTAACAATCAGTTTCTTAACTTCACTTAATTCTGAAGAGACTTAAAAAACAGAGCAAGGGCTGATAATTAAATACAGCATGTGTATAGCTTTATTTGATTACTGTTCTGACTTGAGCATAAATTTATCTTTTCTCTTAAACATTTATGGAAACAATAAAATCTAAGTTCAAAAATTATAGCTAATAAAAATTACTTGTGTTTTGAAATAACCTACTAGGTGTAGTAGTAGAATGTGAAATACCAAAAACCACAGAATTATTACACAAAATTTCATAGGTAAAAGTTAATTGTTTATGCTCTAAGTAACTTCATAGCTAATTCTTGATTGACAATTTAGGCTGTAAATCCATGGAAAGTGAATGTTTAAATTAGCAACAAACAACCTGTGTTAAACGTTTATGTAAGATGACTTATAGTTTGAAAAACCAAAAAGTGCTCGAAAGAAAATGCAATAATTAATGTTGTTTTTTTGGTGACTTTTATTACCCATCTTAAGGATGTTGCTCATTTTAATCTTTATTTTCAATTTGATAGTATTTGCAATGTTTAACCATCAAGTTGTAATACTTCTGTTAAAACCTGAAGATGAGACAGTCTTTAAATACATAAAATAATGTAAATATAGAAAAAATAAAAATATTAAAATCAGTAGTATGTGACAGACTCACAGGATGGGAAGGCAAGGGTTCTGTTAACAGCATGTCACCTAAAATCTTCCTGCAGTAAGTGGCCATCTTGGCTTGTTGCTTGGTTCTGTAGAGGAAGAAATATACACACAACATATATACACATATAGATACATACATAATCGTATAATGTAATAGCTTACATGAGAGTTATTTTTACGTACTACTTCCTGTAGTCAGCTCCAAGTGTTTGTTAAATGTCATAGGTTGGTTAACATAAGAGTGATAATGTTAGACACAAACCACTGAGTACGTTATATTTTATGTTGTTATATTTTGGTGGATGATTCAGGTATTATTTGATATTCTTAGTCGATATTTTATATCTACATAAAGATTAGTTTTTGGTTTTATTATAGGAAAATTACTGCTATTAACTTGACACATTTTAAACAGTAATATGTTTCTCATAAATTTGTCACAGGTGTTACTCTACTTTAAGTTGAAACAGTATGAGTGGCTTAATGAGTTTTCAATGGTCAAAAGATGTTAGGGAGAGTTGGAGAAAAATCAGGCATGTTATTATTATACTAGATTATATTTTTAAAAGAAATTTACTTCTACGACATTAGTTCAAGCCAAAAGCTAGTGTTTCCTAAGTAAGGAATACTCAGTGCTGAATCCAAAACTTTCCACCAGGTGGGTGGGAGGGGATGAATTAAAATTCAACAACATGGAAAATACTGTACTTCAAGGGTGGGATTTTTTGCACAGGGGAGAATTCTTTCAGCAAGTAACTGATGAAATAATGCATTCTAATCTTTATAAGTAGAAGGGTAAAAAAAGTGTATTTAATTATCTATAATTATTGCTTTACTGATTTTTAGTTTTGCTCTAAGTATATAGTTCACTCTATTTGGAAGTTAATATTAAATTGCAGTAGAGCTAAGTGGAAAAAAATTATATATACACAGCACACAAGTTACAAACATAAAAGAATATAAAAATGTATGTATGGTTAAGTGTGAAAATAATTGTGTATATCCATTATAGTACATGAGCTATATACACAATGGATCTGTTACCATTAGAATATTGAATAATGTATGTATGGTTAAGTGTGAAAACAATTATGTATATCTATTATAGTATGTGAGCTACAAACACAATGGATCTGTTACCATTAACTTACCAGTACAATATGAAAAAATTTATGTATAGCTAAGTGTGAAAACAATTATATCAATTGGATTATATGAGTTACACACACAACAGAAATTAATCTCAACAATGATGAAACAATTGAAAATGTCAAATTACAAAAACATATTCTCCAACCCATAAATCTCCAATTTACTGTGGCATGTAACATTAAAGTTGTCTTTCATATATTTAGAGAGTAATGTTGCAAAGGGTCAACAGATGTGATAAAATTATAAGTAAAACAAACATGATTCAGTAACATGTCATAAATTACTATATAAAACAAAGTATCATCATATGTTTTAAAACATAGTAACTGTCATATCACCGATGCAAAACCTATTAAGATTTATATTAGAGTGCTTTTAAGAAATTCATGAAACAAAAAAAAAAGAGAGAAGCTCAATGTTTTACATAACTTATGACAAAGAAAAGTTAATTTCTTTTCTGAAAATTTATCGTGTCATTTAAAATCACTGATTGAAGAAAACATGAATCAGTCAAAGAGTCACACTCTCATGAAGAAACAAAAGAAACTTACGAACAATGGTTTTCGAAAGACAGTATCACTGGCATGAAGAAACAAAAGAAACTTACGAACAATGGTTTTCGAAAGACAGTATCACTGGCATGAAGAAACAAAAGAAA